ATACAAATGTTTCTTTAAAAGTGCCTTTAAAAGCTTTATAAATTTCAGGGTTTGTTTCAGGGGTTTAATCATGATTTAAGTCTTAGACTGAGGGATTTTTGAGGACGTCTGCAGGTTTACAGGGTTATTTTGTATTTATTTGACTGCAGATTTTAGGAGACATCATGCCTTTCAAAACTGTATCACAGCCAGAAACTGAAAACAGAAATCATCGTTGGATTTTCACATTTCCAATGGTCCTTGGACACATCGTGTGCTTAAAAACCTGAATGAAAGTGATATAAAGTGAATAAGACAAATATTATTGGTAATCAATTTAATATATCACAGTAGGTCTAGGAGAATTAATTATTGTACAGCTTTATACCAATGGGGAGATACATAATCGACGATTAATAATTTATGGAGAAGGTGTAGGAATAAATAAGTTTGTACTTCCTCCCACTCCTTTTTGGACATGTAAATCAAATCATTTTACGTTTTCAGTTTTCATGCTTCCTTTAGTAACTTGTTTTTTATGTCTGTCTACTACTGGATGATTATTTTGTTTATTTGCTACTTACATGTTCAAAATAAACTGCGACTAACTAATTAACAAACTAACTAACTAATATTTCATCAAAATCATTTTATTCTACATCTCATTAAAAATTCGGCAAAGAAATAAAACATTTGCACAAATTAAACAAAAAAACCCTGCTTTTTTCAACTCCAGGATTTCATCTTTAACTTTTAACTTTCAAACAAAAAAGGGTCGATTTTAAAATCTAATAACTGATTCATGGTGGAGGGAGGGTTGTGCATTTTCCGCTTGTCACTCAGGGAGGCTCAAAAGATATTGATTATAGCTTCGGGGAGAGTCAAAAAAACAAACAAAACCCAAGTCATTCCTGTACCACACCATTCCTCCGATAAGTAAAGTACAGTCCCTAATCATTATTTTCATAGTCGATTAATCGATCATTTACTTTATCAATTATTTTATTAGTTGTTTGGTCTATAAAATGGAAGAAAATTGTTCAAACTGTTGATCAGTGTTTCCTTAAACCCAAAATAACATCTTCAAATGACTTGTTTTGTCCACAACAAAATTATTCCATTTACTGTCAGAGAGGAGTAAAGACACCAGAAGATATTCATATTTAAGATGCTGGAATCAGAGAATTTAGATTTTTCTTTTTTTCCCCCTAAAAAACGTACCAATTATAAACTTAGTCTGCGTTTAATTTAAAGGTCCAGTGTGAAGGATTTTGGGGGATATGTGGGCAGAAATGAAATATAATTGAATAAGTATGTTTTCATTAGTGTATAATCACCTGAAAATAAGAATGATCGTGTTACTTTAGATCGAGACGTTTATATCAACACAGGGAGCAGGTCCTCGTCTACGCAGATCGCCATGTTGCACTGCCATTTTTCTACAGTAGCCCAGAATGGACAAACCAAACACTGGCTCTAAACAGGACCTTTCACATTTTTGTGTTGTGCGTCAACTGTTGTTAGCAGCCCCTCTGCAACAGGACATCTGTTTCATTCAGTGTTTTTACGGGTTAAAATCACCTGATCTGTTTGTTCTGGAGAGGAAGAGACTTCTGTGGATAATTTGGTTGCCTGCAAAAACCTCCCGAACAATCAGGAGAAGTTTTCAGCTGGTTATAATCCACAGTCCTCACCACTAGATGCCACTATATCCCATAAATCTTACACACTGGACCTTTAATAGTTGAAGACTAATCGATTCATCCTTGCAGCTCTTTGGTCCAGACAGAAATATCTCAGGAAACACTGGATGGATTTCCATTAAATGTAGTTCACATATTCATGTTCCCTGGAGGATTAACCCTCTGACTCTGGTGATCTGATGACTTTACCTGTAGCGCCATCATCAGGTCAACATTTGAACTCCAATTCAGTTTTTTATTGTAAGCTCCAGGTTTCATTCTCTCCTTCGTCTGTCTCTGTGTGATCTTTGTTTCTGAGAAAAGCTCTCAGGCAGCCGTGCACACGTCTCTGGATATTGAATGAAAGCCATAATACCCACAATAATAACAGATAATACCCTGTGATAAACAATAACACACACACGCCCCGGATGCTGCTCTTTGTTGGGATTACAGTCAAACACACGTACCTGGAAGCATCGCTGCCAGCATGATAATCCCAGTAAATAAATCCTCTGAGGGATTATTGCTCTGTTGAGGTGCAGTCACACCGAAACCTTCACTGAGCCGAAGTAAGACTGAACACCGGCGCGAGGCCAGATGGGCTCTGATGGAGATGAATGAATGTCGGGATAACAAAAAAAAAAAGGAAAAGAAAAGCATCAAGGAAATTATCAGAGAACCACAGGGGTCAGTTAATGGACTTTGGATAAATGTTAATGGGTCTCAGTAACCATTAATAACCCTGTAAATCTGCACAAAAAGCATTAAATCCCTTTAATTACTCACCTCCATCAACAAATGGATAAATAAATAATAACCCAAGAACAAATCCCTTAAAAACCCAGACACTAACTCTTACTGTTTTTTAGATACGGACGTTTTAAATGACATTTCAGGGTTAAATATGTTTTTGTGTGAATTACACTAAGTTCATGAAAAGTGAGGAGTCTCTGAAAAATGAAGATGACTCCCCTGAAATGCTTTAAAGTTTTGTTTCTGTGGATTTAATAAAATAAGTGGCAGCAAAATGCATCATTAATGAGAAAAACAAATGATGATGATGAGTGATTAATACAAAAGAACTGCACTAATTAGAATGCAGAATCATTTATAATTACCATATAAATGGAAAACAGTGAGCAAACACAATGAATATTAATAATACCTGCAAGTTAATCACAACCATCAACAAATAATAACAGACGATCTCAGGAACATTACATCATAATGATGAACCAAGTGTAGTTAGTCTCATCGGCAGTGGTAGACGAAGACGAAGTGTTTAGATTCTTTACTGCAGTTAAATTAAGTCCTGCGCTGAAAATATAACTTTAATAACTTTATCTATATATAGTTATTATCATTACAATGACTTTAAAGGGACAGTCTCACAAAATACACATTTTCCCTCTTACCCGTAGGGGTATTTAACACTCTAGATAGTTATGGTGTGAGTTGCAGAGTGTTGGCGCAATGTCTCTTTCCAGAAATCATGACCTGGTTACTCAAGATAATCCACAGACCTTGTTGTGAGCAGTTTCATGTGGAAACTGTTTTCTTTCTACTTAACTACACCCTCCAATCGCAACACTGGGCAGAAGGAAGCATCTACTGCTAGCTCACATAGCAACACTGAGCTAGCTAACGTTACAGCTTAGCTGAGGCGGACGCCATTACAACACATTCTCTGTACTACTTCGTCACATATCGACACATATGATGTTTGGTCGTGGACTTTCCACTTCCACATATGACGTCCAAGGTACCCTGGGTGTGTTGGTTGTTGACATTCTGGGACGCCGTGTCAACTTCAGCCTGTTACATGCATTGTCTGTTTTCAAAATACACTTCTGTTTCCACAGGCAATGAACAGTTTGCATACAGTCTCTTTCAAAATAAAAGCACTACGTCGGTACAACACTGTGAATTGACTTTTTTCTTTCCTCCAACAACAAAGCAGGTGTTTGGGTTTAGGGGAAAAAAAGAACAGGGTTTGGCTTTACAACGTTATGGGACACAAACACGGCTCTCCTTAGTGGTTGTTGGATCCATCCACCACCACTCCCACCCACCCTACTCAGACTTTTGCTGCCTTAACTTTCATTCTTGTACCGCCACGTTTCCCCCTGACGCCGATGCGCGCCGTTAAACTATAACAGCAACCGGCCACATGTCGGGCCAACGTTAAAGGATGGTGGGACAGTCAGATAAGCAACTCCAGTAGAGAGAGGCCAATGAGGAAATGTGTCTTTTCATTTTGTCACGTGTTGTGAATTGTGACAACAAATAGAACAATAAAATGCATCAGAATCACTTGCAAGGGCCCGCTCTCTCTACGGGCCCCTCCACCCCAGGGGCCCCACTGCATCCACACTGCCTGCACTGTCTATATTTACACCCCTGGCTCAAGTGATTCCTCACACACCTTCTCCTTCTTCTCTTTCTTGTGTCAGTAGTCTGTCTTCTCGTGCTTGATGTGTTCGACAGAGCGGGCAGCGCCCCTCATTGTGTTGAGTGCACATGGCGGTCCATGGAGATGACACTGATCTTTGCTGCATGTTCTGCGTATCTCTCTTATTGCTGGGGGAGCAGAGGCAAAATCTGCCAACCAAGTTGCCTGGCCACTCCTCTGTCTTTCTCTTGTTTTCCATCTCTCCGGTGTGCACGCTCTTTCTCTCCGCCATTCGCCACTTTCCATCTCTCAGTCGCAGTCCCCTGGCATCTCTCGCTTTTCCTCTTAAATCAGTCCAATAAAACTCCTGCCATTTATGCACAAGAACTGCCAGTTTCATCAGAAATAAATAATTAAATAAAAAATAAAAAACTCCAGTAACTTGGCAAATCCAGACCTGATTCAAGCCCGGGGGAAATATGAGAAATTAAAGCCTGGCCCAGCCAAAACCTGGCGGATCAGGTCGGACCAAAATGGACTCAGGCAGAGAATCAGAGTTCTGGAGTAGATACATTCGGTTGGCGGGTGTTGTTCAGTAGAGAGAAAATAGTTGCGACATGAAACTGCTCACAACAAGGTCTGTAGATTATCTTGAGTAACCGGGTCATGATTTCTAGAAAGAGACACTGATGTTGAGTTTTCCAAATGTATTTTTTGGAGCTTTTGAGCTGCGTGTCATCTAGTTCCATTATATTCAAGAGAAGGCAGACAACTCTACAGCTAATATCTCCAACACTGCACAAATAATATAAACTGTTCTAATGGCTCAGTGTTTTTAGACGTGGTCACAAAGCATTCTGGGAAACAGACTCCTGAAAGTCAGTAAACATCAGTGTTTCTAGTCCATCAGGTTTATTGATCTTATTGACCTCCATCTCTTCCAGGAACGTTCAAGAACGGGATCGCAGAGGGGGAGGTGGACCCCACCTTCGGGCCCCTGGAGGCCATGCGCCTCTCAGTGTTGACGGACTCGCCGGTCTGGGTGATCCTCAGCGAGGTGAGACTGCCTTGACTGGAACCAGATTAAATTCACTGTGACCCACAAGAACTCTTTTTCTCATTTCTGAATGGATTTTAATGAAGAGATTCAAAGTTTAATGACTGTTCTTGTAGAAAAGGTCCTTGAGGAAGTTTCTCAGGGCACTGAGGGGGTAATGGGTTTCTGAGTCCATGGGTACCTGTTGAGGTTATTGAGGGTTCAAGGAGTTCTCAAGGGGGTTCAAAGGGTCCATGAGGGGATTCCAATGTCTTAAAGGATTTCCCGGGAGTGGAGGTTCAAGAGGTCACTGAAGAGGTTTCAGGGGTTCTAGAGGAGGTTTGCAAAGGTTCAGAGAGGTTTCTGGGATTCTTCAGTTGGTCTTGGATGAGGTTGTGAGCACCCTGGAGAGAGTTCATTAAGTCCCCCAGGCCCCAGTGATATTGTTAAAGGTCCTTGAAGAGGTTCCTGGAACATTGACAAGGTATCTATGTGTGTTACAGAAGCGTCAAGAGTGCTTGATAAGCTTCCAATGTGCCTTGTTTAGGTAGGAGTACAGGAAGATGATGTTGGGGTTCTTTACAGTCTTTCTTGATGTTCCTTGCATCCTTGGTTGGATCTGAGAGGTTTGTAAAAGGGTTCAGTTCTTGAGGAAGGCCCACTGGGTGTTTGGGTGCAGTGGGGGGTTGCTAAAGTGCCTTCAGTAGGTTTCAGGGGGTGCTGGGATGTCCCACAGGTTCAGCCAGAGGTATCAAATATCAAAAAGTTGTTTATGATGGGGTGTTGGGGTCGTTTTGCTTGGGTGGATTCGTGGGATACTTGTAGAGGCTTTAGTGATTTTGAAGAGGCCCTCAAATCCATGTTCAAGGGCTTGTTATGAATGCCATTCCAGAAGTGCCTAATATTATTTCAAGGATTTTGGGAGAAGGTTACAAGAGTTCTGAAAGAGGTTTCAGAGGACCCAGGCATCCCTAAAAATCCCTGGGCATTATGGAAGATTCATTATGGAAGAAGTGTTTGATGGAATTCCAGGCATCCTTGAGGGGGTTTCCAAGATGGCACTTAAAAGAGATGCAGGAGACTGTGGCTGAAGTCAACTAATAAAAAAAAAAATCATCTTATGACTTTTCCCAAACACTTTTCAAAGACCTCAGTGGAAAACTTCATGAGGTCAAGGAAAGATGTGAAGGAGAGTTCATAAAGACTTTGGGTGCTTTCAGCCCTAGAGTGGTCTCCTTTGGTCTGAATCAGGGACTCATGTTGTTCCAAAGTTGTATAATTGCCTAGAGTTGGTTAGTGTTCTCACGGCAGCATTTACAAGAGGACCAGATCAAATGCCTTGTGTGAGAAAGCTGCTCTTGATTGGTCAGAATTTCCATGTGGGAAAACTCCAGGAAGTAAAGCAAACGTTGAAGAAGAGTACACTTGCAAGATAAATGTGACACTTTCTAATGTCACAATGGAGGGACAACTACGCAGGTTGATTTTAGCGCTGTCATCGTGGACTATATTGCTCTCATTGAATGGCGCTTCATTTTAAATGGTACTGCCGCAAAGAATTCCAGGACAGCATTATGTCCTTTCCTTGGGCAAAGAAAGATCTAGTGTTTCCTGTGCTAAAGGAGATAATAAAGGAAGCATTGAAGCTCCTTTCCTTGGCATTAAGAGAATTCGACCAGCTCCTAACATGGCTGCCACTTTGATTCTTACGGGTCATTTCACTCAGTTAGGAACCTTCATAAGCAAAAAACACTATTAGGCTGTAGCCCAGGAGATGTTTCAGAGGTTATGAAAAATTCTCAGCAGTCTTTCCGGTGTCTTTTAAGGGGCCTTTGATGAGGTGTAAAGGGTTCTTGAAAAAGTTCCAGGGGATGTAAGATTTAAGAGAATATCCGATTTGTCAACTTGGTCATTGAAATAAATAATGGAAATAATTTGCAGTGTGGGTTCACGATCAGACTCCTGTCCTAGGTTCAAACAAATACACTTTGGTTATGGTTCGGGAAAAATCATGATTTTGGTTAGATATTATATACAACAAAGAAAAATGCTGTTGTAACAAGTGATACTGAATTGCAAGATTGGCTGAACATTCTGCTGATTCGTTCAGTATCAACATCAACATAGCATCATTCCCCTCAAAATGTACTTGCTGTTTAAAATTAGTCGTATATAAATGTAATTTTTAGTAAACAGAGCTGCCTGCCAAGCTGCAGACTAACAAACAACAAAACCTGTTGTGATTTAACGAGTCATTGTTGTGTTTCTAGTGGCTCTGCCGTGCCTAATAAAGTGGACAGTGAGTGTTTTTTAACAGAAAAGAGTAGACTTCAGACACCAAATGTATTTTTTCACATTTGAAATAGTTGTAGACCAGAAGAAGAAGAATTAAATGAATCAAACCTCCATTTAATCGCTGTCTTCACAGTGTCTCTTGACCGGGGAGAATATTATGTGAACTTGAACAGTTTCAGAAATTGTTGTTCAGATTCCTCTTTGATTAATTTACACAGGCACATGGGGTCCAGGTTCGAAAATACTGAAGGTACCCTTTAAGTTGGTCCGTTTTTCTTTTGACCCTCAACAAAACCTGTTGTGATTTAACAAGTCATCGTTCTAGCAGCTCTTTAGCCCCCAGCTGTGGGTGATATTTTTAGAGACCTGTCACTGTTTTTCCAGGTGGGATTGTGGCCCCGTATACCGCATATTTTAAGCCAAACGTCATCTTTTCTGAACCATAACCAAATGTTTTCTGTGCCTAAACCCAACCACATGTTAACCACAGTGTTGCACAAATGTAACCTGTCCTTGGTTTGCAGAAACGTGCACTGCTCATTTTTAGAAATGCACTCTCGAAAAATAGTTGCAGGTAGTAAACAACTGAAACCTCTGAAACATCTGGTGTCTCTGCACATTCACAGCAGTCCAACAATCTAACACTTAAGTCCAAATTAACTGTGAGAGTCTAATAATCAAAACTAGTCAGCTTGCTTTCATCTAAGCAGAGCGCCCTCAGAGTGAGGCTGGTGTTAAAGGATTAATTCACCACACCAAAGAGCAGAGTTGTGGCATGTGAATGTTTCGCTCCTGACCTCTGACCTTTGAACTCTCTTTGAGGGTTGCTGAGGAGAAAGTGTCTCCATGTTAACCCTTTAAAGAATGCATCCGTCTGGGTTCAGAGAGGCATTTTGATCGTTTACAGACGGAACGTTTTTAAAGGAAACACTTAATATTTAACAGAGTTTAATACAATTGAATATTAAACTTAAATCCAGAAATATCTGACTCACTATCAGGTCTTAAAAATCAGTATTGGTCAGACTCTAACGGGCTTATAAACCTTCATACTGGATCATTTCACTGTGTGTTTTAATGCTGACTGGTTCACACTGGTTTCTGTGATCTCTCCTGTCTCAGATCTTCATAAAGAAAGCAGAGTGAAGCCCCTCTCCCCCCTCAGTGATACCTCAACACCTCCGAGCGTTCAGCCGAGCTGACCGGAGGCTCGTCAGCTGCCGTCCTGCTCCAGTCCTGCTCACCAGATTCACACCGCGGTGCCACAGCGCCGCCGTCTGGCTGGACCTCGCCACTGCAGGGCTGAACAGATGAGAGACTGAAACACAGATCACACAGACAGACAGGCAGGGGTCTCCTGGGTTTGCACAACACGACATGCAAAAAGAGAAGATGCTCTCAGATGATGCTGTAATTAAGAATCTGTATTTATGTGTACATACAAGAAGGTAGATGTTGAAAACACTGGTAATTGTCGAGGCGGTGGCGACCGCGCCGCGTCCACTGAAACTGCTGCTTCAAAATCAAAGACTCAAAGGCCTCTTTCTATCTGCAGACGGTCGGTCCGGACCTTTCTACCAACACTATCCCACCAGTATACCCCCCCACAGTAACCATGTATGTGCATATATGCATAGAGATGTACACACTATCATATGAATGCCCTCTCAGTGTGTTGATATGTGTCTGTAGTTGCTGGTCGGGGTTCAGACCGTTTCCCTCCATCTGAGAGCGATTTGCCTTAACAAAGACGAACAGCAGATTTACTTCAAACAGAAACGAGCCCCGGACTGATGAAATGTAGCCACAATAAGTACCCAGAATCCTTTGCTGCAACCTTGGACCTTCTCTCATCTTTGTGGTTTGAAACTACTGACGACAGCTGGTATCTTACTTTTTTAACAAAGTCTTTTAAAGTTGTTTAATTTTGAGTTTACTGAGGCCTTGTTACTGTCCACTGCTCTTTCACAGTACTCTGTTGTAGGTTACAGTACTCTACTGTACTGTACAGTACTTCACAGTACTCTGCTGTAGGTTACAGTGCTGTAACATACTCTACAGTATTGTGACATACTGTACAGTACTCTAATGTACCCACAGTACTCTAGTTTCCTCTGCTGTGCTCTGCAGCACTTTAAGGTACTTTACAATACTGTGACATACTCTGCAGTACTCTGACGTACCTTACAGTACTCTAATGTACTTTGCAGTACTTCACAGTAATCTGCTGTACTTCAGAGAGCTGTAACATACTATACAGTACTCTAATGTACTCTACAGTATGCTAGTTTCCTCTGCTGTGCTCTGCAGTACTCTAAAGTACATTACAGTACTTTACAGTACTCTGATGTACTTTACAGTGCTATGACATACTCTACAGTACTCTCGTTTCCTCTGCTGTGCTCTGTTAACTTTACTGTACTGTAGTTTTTCAGTCCAGTGCAACAACAGAGATTCACATATTTTCTTTTTTTCCATTTTCAGTCTCTCATTGACACTTTTGGTAATAAATACTATAAATTATAAAATACGTCAGACGGTTTAATTTTCATTTCTCTGTAAAGACAGTGTCTTGTCTTGTCATATTAATATCATCTGCTTCAGTCCACGTCTCCTGATACTCCCTCAGATTATTAATCTGTGCCCTTTTCACACTTGGTTTGTTCCCTCGGTTCAATAATTGGTGCCCTGAAATTATGTAAATAATTCAAAATGATAAGTCCACAGGTCCTCGTCCTTGTGTTGCTATTACGATCGTGTGCAGAGAGATGATTAACCAGGTTTCATATCCTATAGAAAAACCAGGATAAGACTCAAAATCAGGAAACTAGTGTGCATATAAATGCACTCATATATTCAACATGCAAGAAGGACCTGCTTCAAACTGAAATGTAGCCAGTTAAGCCAGGTTTTTTTTGTGAATTTCCCCTCAAAATACATTCACTTTCAACTAAATTTAGCCCAAGAAATACTGCCACCTTCAAATCAACAATTCATTGTTGTGTTCTCAGCTCTGAAAACGCACCGATTATTAATTTAAGGGAACAAACAAAGTGAGTCAAGAGGACAAAATTACTCTTTTAAAGGATCGATTTAGTAAAACATTTCCCCCCCAGCACCTCCCAGAGTCAGAAACTCAAAACTGGACTTCATTCATTCATTCGGGTTCAGATGGACAACAGACCGAACAGAAGTTTTCATTTAGTTCAGATTTGAAGTGAACAGAGCGTCTTCAAGCGTCAGGAAACATCCCGAGTTTTCTTTTCTTTGTAAGATGCACTGGAATGCATTGCTATAATCTTGTGTTTGTCTTTTGTATCCTTTAGATAAACTCTATTTAAATGATCTTAAACTTCTATCCAATCTGTGACTTGTAATAAAGACAGAAATTTAAATGATTTGTGTTTTCTGGGCGGAGGTTTGTTGTGAGTGGCTCTCTGGTGTGGCGGCTCGGGGAGATGTGGGGGAGGATTTCTGTGAGTGTCATCAGGTTTCATCAAAGAGAAAATGATGAAATACCAACATCACTGCACTGGTAAGAAGCTGCTTAATCAAAGGAGAAGCTGTGAAGTTGGAATTTCTTTCAATTTCATGCAGGAAAAAAAAGTGAGGGGACAGGAAGTGACCCAGAGCGGCCCTTAAAACTGCTCTCCACAATAAAAGTCTTCAATCTTGTATGTTGCAGCCAAATTAAGTGTGTAAGTGAGCAGTTTAATCAGCTGTTATATTAATGTTTCTCTTCTTTGCTTCAATAACTACACTTACCAGCCACTTTATTAGGTACACCTTGCTAGCACCAGGTTGGACCCCCTCTTTAATTCTTGGTGTCACAGGTTCAACAAGGAGCTGGAAACATTCCTCAGAGATGTTGGTCCATATTGACATGATGACATCACACAGTTGATCCATGATGAGAATCTCCCGTTCCAGCACATCCCAAAGGTGCTCTATTGGACTGAGATCTGGTGACTGTGGAGGCCATTGGAGTACAGTGAACTCATTGTCATGTTTGAGATGATGTGAGCTTTGTGACATGGTGCGTTATCCTGCTGGAAGTAGCCATCAGAAGATGGGTACACTGTGGTCATAAAGGGATGGACACGCTCAGCAACAATACTCAGGTAGGCTGTGGTGTTTAAACCATGCTCAGTTGGTACTAAGAAAATCTCCCCCACACCATTACACCACCAGCAGCAGCCTGAAGCGTTGATACAAGGCAGGATGGATCCATGCTTCCATCTGAATGTGGTTTTTCCAATCTTCTATTGTCCAGTTTTGGTGAATTGTAGCCTCAGTTTCCTGTTGTTAGCTGACAGGAGTGGCACCTGGTGTGGTCTTCTGCTGCTGTAGCCCATCTGCTTCAAGGTTGGACAAGGTGTTGTTGCTTCAGAGATGCTCTTCTGCACACCTTGGTTGGAACCAGTGCTTATTTGACTTCCTGTTGCCTTTCTATCATCTTGAACCAGTCTGGCCATTCTCCTCTGACCTCTGGCATCAACAAGGCATTTTGGCTCACTGGATATTTTCTCTTTTTGGGACCATCCTCTGTAAACCCTAGAGATGGTTGTGCTGAAAATCCCAGTAAATACTCCACCAACAACCATGCCACGTTCAAAGTCACTTCAATCACCTTTCTTCATCATTCTGATGCTCCGTTTGAACTTCAGCAGGTCAAGAGTTTTATGTGAAAGGAATTTAAGTCCTGTCCCATATAAGTCTGTTGATTTCAGGGATTTAAAAGGGGTGGTGAAACAGTGGTAGAATAGGAAACACCCAATGGGGTCTAGATGCTGATGGTGGTGGTGAGATGAAGAAGGAGCTAAAGATCTGGATGTGATGAGGAGCAGACTTTTGATGAGCTCATCCTGGGTCTGGATGTGATGACTGGAGGAGGCGGCGAGGATTCTTCCAGAAATGACAGCTCACAGTATCAGAGAGAAGAATAGATCTTAAGTTTGACAGCAGCGACATGGTTGGTTGACAAAGATCATGGCAAAATTTGATTGGTCTCACTGGAAGGACGAACACCCATAATCAGCTGACTGGAAGAGGCAGAGGGAGGGAGACAGACAGAGAGAAATGTGAATGAATGAAACATAGAGATTGTCTTCCTGATTCGCTGAGCTTCATTCAGCTGTGGCTCAGAGGGATCTTTGTCTCTTTCAGTCTGGTCGAAGCGTTACGTTCATGAACAAAATAAACCCTTCATACTAAATAGCATCTCTTTGTAAAGAAGACTTTCTACAATGTAGAAGCATTAAAGACCGTTCAGACATATAGAGAATTCCTCTCACACATCTGACTGAACGTTTGTGGCTGAAACATTTCAGTAGTCATGCACATCCAAACAGAAACTGAGCGTTAACGATTGCAAATGTAAATTTTAGGGGTCAAAGACGTTTGACAGCAGCTTCGTGCTTCATCACAGTGAATTAAAGACATAAAAGCAGCCTGTTGTTCAGCCAGTCTGGTGAGGTGACTGTCACATGGATGAAGGTCACATGACTCTCACAGCTCTGCCCTGACATGCTGAGAGAATTAAAGGAATAGTTCAGCATGTTGGGTTGAACTGAAAGTGTGACTTAGCTCGTAAAGTGCTGCTTCTCCCCTGATTCTCATGATTGTTTGGTTTGTGTGTTTGATGAGCGGAGTTAGAGGTGAGCAGGTACGCTCCAGCTGCAGGCTGGTGACTGGTGACTGGTGGGCGGGGCTTATCTGTATATTCATAGATCCATACATGCATATCTAATTGAGGAAAAGGTGTAGAGTTACATCTGAGCCATTTCAAAGCACTGGAAAAAACGGTTAACAGTTCATTAAAAAGATTCGTTCAAAAGACTCGTTCACTGAATTGTTCAGTGCTTGGTGGGAGGAGCCCTGACTGTGTAGTGCGTAGTCCGACTCACTGAACTGATACATGGCTGAGCTGCTGCTACGTCTGCCCTGCACTGGTGAGTCTCATTACTGGCCAGCCTAACGTTTTAAGTTTGTTTATCTGGAAACTAAGTCTGTTAAAACAATGGGGAGGTGTGTGATTGTGTTCATGTGGCTTGACTCCTGGCTACATTAGCCGTTAGCTTGGAGAAAACGGTCCCTATGAAAGTGTATCCCTGAGAAGACATTATTTGAATCACTCAGGGATCGGGGTTACGTCGTTCACCGAGTGATTCGTTCACCAAGTGATTCGTCACGCGGTAGGCAGTCCCTCCCTGCAACCTGGCTGCCTTGTGATGCATTGTTCGCACGGACCGAATCGGCAATTCCCCTCCCGGCCTGCACGCTTGCTGCTGAGCTCAACTTAACTGAAAATGAACGAATCAGTTCCGGAAGTGATTGAGTTCAGTACGTTCACTCAACAGATTCGTTCTTTTGAACGATTCGTTCGCCGACGACACAACACTACTCAGTTACCTAATTCACATTTGGTTATTACACAGCATTTTTCTATATTTTGCATTTAAACTGCTCTGATCGGTATGTAAAAATAAGATATAAGATATAAAAGATATGCTTTGATCGATTTCCAGAGGGGAAATATCTGTGTGGCAGCTGCACAAAGACAGAAATGAGTACAGATGCATAGAGAAAGGTAAAGAATTTAATAAATAAATAATTAAAAGTACACAAATAAAGTTTTAAAAAAAGTTGCATTTACAGTGGAGCAAAAATAAAACATTCTCGCGTACTTAAATGAAGAGTTAGAGCTTTGACACTGTACTTTGTATACAATTTGAACAGCATATTTTATCACCTGTCATGTAAATACAGCATATGAAGTTCACAAGACAAAGAAGTAAAATCGGACAGGCTTTAACTGGTGCTGTAATATATGTATATAGATATATATAGAGATAGATGTAGCCTACCTCAGGATGAATGAAACCACTAAAAACAAGAGTCATATCAGTTCGGACGTTGCCTGGGTTGACAAGGTTCGAGTCAGGTGGGAACAAATGAGCTACTGGAACAAGACATAGATGGACAAGACCAGAGAATATGGGACTGTTGGGATGTTACTGTACGTGTAACCCCATTGAGGGGCCACATGCAGAGGATGTGGGATATACGGATGCTTTGAGACCCAACATCCAGGATGACAAAGAGCCAGCTCATGGCCAAGTGTTCCAACATCCACAAACAGCAACTGCTATCACAACTAGAGATTGATGATATGTATATATATTGTACTGGGACCCTCTTGTTTAATCTCTGTTTGCTTCCATCAGACTAAATCATACAAAATAATAAAGTAGCCTACCATAATTATGCAGATTATGGACCTGTAGAACGTCTGTGTCACTGCACTGACCAAATCAGTGATTGGATGTGTCAGAATGTTCTCCAACTCAACAGAGATGAGACCGACATCATTGTCTTTGGGCCACGGACAGAAAGACACTGTGTCATCTCTAACCTTGAGGCCCTCTCTCCTAAACTAAGAGTCACACAGAAACCTTGGTGTTATCTGTAACATCTGCCTACTACCATTTAAAAAACATTGCTAGTGCCTTTATTTCCTGTATATTAGATTATTGCAACAGTCTGTTCGTCAGACTTTCGAAACAGGCTGTTTGGCAACTTGAGCTCATTCAGAATGCTGCTGCTCAGGTCCTGACAAAGACCAGGAAACATGACCACATTACTCCAGCTCTAAAATCCTTACACTGGCTACCTGTCACTCAGAGAATTAATTTCAAAATCCAATTCCTCTGTGGCCCAGCACCCAGATATATCTCTGACATGCTTGTGACATATGAACCTTCCTGGATTCTGAGGACATCTGAGGCCAGCCTACTGACCATCCCAAGAGTCAGAACAAAACACGGCGAAGCAGCATTTTGTTATCAAGCAGCACAAACCTGGAATAACCTCCCAGATGATGTTTGACAAACCCGGACTCTGAACACCAGTTAAAGCTGAAAACATTCCTATTTTACACTGCCTGCTCCACCCTGTAATGACTGCAAGCTCTTTATTTAAGCACCATCTTAAATCATTCTAATGGTGATTTTTTTACATTGTAAATCATTTAGTATTTAATTTGACCTTTTATATTTTTTTCATCATTCATATCTTTTCTGAATCTCACTCTGAGTCACTGTTGTTCACAAACCAAAGAAATTAGAGGTCAGTTTCTTTAGTTTTTAATGAATATTTGAAGGCTATCTGTTAGGTTGACATGTGAAACTACATCACTTATTTTGTTGCAATTCTATTTTCTTAAATCTATCTATCTATCTATCTATCTATCTATCTATCTATCTATCTATCTATCTATCTATATGTATGTATTTCAAAAACACCCTGAAATATAAGGATATTATTTTAGGGTCATATCGCCCACCCCTACTACTCCTGTGTGTGTTCCACACAAGCGGCAACCTCGCCAGGGATGACAAGTGAAGCCAATGCGGATGTGCCAAAAACTGCAGTTCGTTGAATGGCCACTTGAGGCAGGCTCCAAAAGCGAGTCAATCCCCATAGACACCCATGTTAAAATGCTCAACTTTACAGCAGAAATAAACATGTTTACGGCAGACAGTTCTGGTCTCTAGAGCTAATTTCCCCTTTCATGACAACTGGGGGTGAATTTTTTTATAACTCATTCATTTAAATTTCATTAAGGCTTAAAGTTGCACATAATTAAGGGCGTGGTCACTTTGAGTGACAGGGGGCGCCATCACGGGTGGCTAACTAGCCGCTGGCTGTCTGCTAGGCCTCATCTCAGCTAATTTGCAAGTCATTGAACCTGACCTCTCAGCCGTGTTTGTGCCTTTTGTATATTTTCTTTCGTGAGGGAGCTGGCACCAAGCGGGAGCAGCCAACACCGCAGGACTAGCCAAAGTAGCCTAGCTTGTTAGCCGTAGGCGTGTTTAAGCAACCAGGCTTCATTTGGCCCGCCTCTTTGCCCATTTTTGATTGGCCGGGTTGGGCGGAGTCAGAGCCAGAGCCACCTACTTTGAGCTTCAAACTCGCTCCTCAGAAACCAATGGGTGACGTCACGGTGACTACTTCCATATTTTTATACAGTCTATGGTTCCACAAAATGACCAGTAGCAAAATTAGCAGGATGTCAGACCATCCACAGCGCCCTCTAGTGTTGCTGTAAGAAGCACTGTGACAACTAAACCCGGTCTCCCCTATATTTTACCCTCCTGAGACCCTGTGTCCTCATATAAGGACATCACATTTTGGGTTTACTTGACCTTATACTTCATTCTTCTTAACTCAGACCCGTCGTCTCTGTTCGTGGACACTTTGTTGTGCCATCTAGTGGTAATAAAAGCACAATACACTCATCCATGGAAAAACAAGATGGCAGCCATCTCTGCCAAGTCAGTCTGCAGCTGATCCCGACACAAAAGTGGACAAGGTCCAAAACCTGATCACATCTAATGGTTGAAACTTGTTTATTTGTGATTAATAATGTTTATATATTGATATGGCAACAAATTTGACCAAATTTATCAACAGTAACAAGTTAAGACACTGTTAATTAATTAGGTAGTAGTCATTTGACATTCGGACTTTATTATCATCTTGTTTGAGGACATTGGGCCTCAGCTGTCATTGACAGTGTTTTGTTTTTCTATATCTATTGGGTATGAAATGTGCTATATAAATAAAGCTGCCTTGCCTGTATTATGATTACAGCACTTTAATCAGCAGGTATTCTGTATTATATATTTGATATTCTATTGTAATCTCATTCCAAACCTTTGAATCACGGTCAAAATATGCCATTACTTATAGAAACAGGTTCTGGTGTTGTGCGTGAGGTCAGACTAAACAAAATACATCCCTTTGTGGTCTTTGGGGAACTTGTGATAAGCATTTCATATTATTTTTAACAGTGACTTTTAAGAGGACGAAATGTTCAGCACCCTGCAGACTTCATTAGAGAGACATTAATGAAGGCATTAACCACTGAGTGAATTAATTGTTAAATCCAGGCCTAAAGTCAACAGTTAGGCCCTGTTTGCCCAAATTTTTAAGGGTCTTGCTTTGTATTTTTCTGAAGAATTAGTCTTCTGTGTTGGCATTATGTAAAAAGTATTAGACTTTTAACCATTAATCACTACTTAAATATTACAATTTGAACAAGAAAGTGAAATGATCCTTTATAGCTTCTGAGTTAGAACATTTTATATTCTGAATTTGTGTGTTTCAACACTTCATTAAATGCATGATATTTACGGTAAAATAAAACAGTAGTAGAGAATAAACTATTTAAACAAGGCCATAGTTTGAAGGCTGCATGGTTGAGTCTGAAATAAATATCAAAAATAAATATAAAACTCTATGCTTTAATGGTGTATTATACTGTACTTAGGCTATACTATTTTATATTACTGTGTTTGTTATGTTAAACTACATTACTGCTAAATTAACTACGCTATTACATCATGTATTATGTCTCTATATCATTAGTGTATTTTACGTTATGATCTAATCTGACATTAAAATCATCAGTCTAACAGCTCTTTTCATCAGCCGCGCTCCAACCAATCAGCGCACACCTCTCCTGCCACCCCGACCAATCAGCGCTGTCCACGAGGTTCAGCTCCAGAGGGGGCGGGCACTGTCTAGTCCGGTTGAGATTTCCCTTCGACCAATCAGCGGTTGACAGTTGACAGGACACGTCAAACATTCCCTCTCGCTGACCAATCAGCGGCCGAGGGGGGAGGCGGTCTCTGCTCCCCAATATCCCATGTGACGCTCCTCAGTAGTTCCCAGGCGGTCACATCCAAGAGCCGGAGGTGAGTAAAGAGACCGATAAACGTCACTTTTTACGGTGAAACACAGCGGGAGAGGAGCGATTTATGAGAAACGCTGATTCATTTGAGCTGTCCGCGCGCCGATTATTTAAATAACGTCCGATTTTAGCCGTTAAAAATAAAGCTAGGTGTCTCAGAGCATGCTGTTAGCATTGCGCTGAGTGGCTAATTAACTACAGGTGAATTCAGCTAGCCTGTTAGCCTGCTGCCTTGGCCTACACTAACATTTACGTCACATATTTAATAAAATATTAAATGAGACTACTTCTTACGCAGCTCTTTAAAAGTCTACTTGTGTTTACTACGTTAGAAGATGAAGTTTATTCAGCTCGAGCTTCGTTTCGTAAGCAGCATCGCAGCTAAGCTAAGCTAGCTGAATCAGACGTGTTCGTAACGGAGGAAAGTTGTTCCTCTAAGGAATCTCACAAGAGATTAATGTGTTTATTAAGAACATAAATGTCGGTAGAAATGTTTTTGTAAAGTGGTGTAAATGACAGGCTGGTAAAAATAAATCATTAAGTGTGCGAGGAGTCAGTTAGCATGTTAGCTTCATCTCTTCTGCCAAACCTAGTGGTGTTTTGTAATCAAATGACAGTTAAAACACAGATCGCCTTACTTAAAAAATGTAAAAGAGAAATGTCTAAAGATACCAAATGCGTGAGGATTTCAAGGAAACGAGTACAAAATGAAGCTAGTAACTAATAATTATTTACAACCTGTCAGTTAGTAATCTTGATTAATCATTCACTTTCAAACCTCCACCACTACTTCACATTTTCCAAAGTGATGTCTTCGATGTCAAGTCAGTCCCCACCCCCCAAAAAATATATTGAGTCACAATGATTTAAAGATAGAGAACAGAAACAAAAACTGGAAAAGCTGCAACATGAGAAGGGATTTGTGCTTGTTTAGATAATTAAAGAATAACTAGTTATCACTAATAAGAAATAATGATAAGACGATTAATTTATCATTAAAACACTTCACTTTTCTGTCAATCAACTGATTGTTTCAGTTCTAAAATGATGCACAAGACATCTAGAATATTTATTTTGGACTCAACCATGCAGCCTTCAAACTATGGCCTTGTTTAAATAGTTTGTTCTCTACTACTGTTTTATTTTACTTTAATTATGCATTTAATGAAGTGTCGAAATACACAAATTCGGAATATCAGATACTACTTAAACTGATAAAATGTTGTAACTTAAGAGCTATAAAGGATAGTTTTACTTGCTTGTTCAAATTGAAGTATTTAGTAATTACTAATGGTTAAATGTCTAATATTAATCAAATATCTGATAGCAACACACTTATTTTTTCAAATAATACCCGACTAATTGTGATTCACTAGTTGGTTGTGATCTCTCTGAAGGATGGCACACATCGATGGCCCCTTTTTTTAGAAAAATACAAAGCAAGACCCTTAAAAATTCAGAAAACAAGAGGTATTTAAGTGTTGACTTTAGGCCTGGATTTAACAATTAATTCACTCATTGTTTAATGTCTTCATTAATGTCTCTCTAATGAAGTCTGCAGGGTGGAGAACATTTTGTCCTCTTAAAAGTCACTGTTAAAAATAATATGAAATGCTTATCACAAGTTCCCCAAAGACCACAAAGGGATGCATTTTGTTTAGTCTGACCTCACGCACAACGCCAGAACCTGTTTCTTTAAGTAATGAGATATTTGGCAGTGATTCAAAAGTCTGGAACGAGGTTACTGAAGGCTGTCAGTCTGCTGTTGCAATAAATCCTCACATTTAAGAAGCTGGAAGCAGCACTTAATCGTCACTTGTCTCAACAATTGATGACTAATGAGTGTGTTTCCTTTAAAACAGTAAATTAGTTTTATAGGATGGCCTTAGCTGAAGCTCCAGCCCCTTAACAAAGTCAGAACCAGGTTTGTATGCCAGAAATGAGCTTTAGTGAGTTGATTTATAGCCTCAGGTTAGGATCCAGTATTTCCAGTGAAGGCTGCAGCAGCCTGACTGGTTCATCCTGCTGGCTTTTCTCAGAATTATTCAGTGGCTGTGTCAGGACGCCGCCCACTTTGATCTGAAGTCATTCAGATGGAAATTAGCTCCACAGATTACTGTGGGATTACAGTTTTTCACCTGAGTGTCCAGTTGAGCTGCATAGTTAAACATGTCAACACTGGATGGCAGCACTCTGCAGAGTTTCACCCGTTAATTACGTTTTCAGGCTTACGTGCCTAAAATTCGCCGACCTGAAAATGACTTTTAAGAAGAAAGATCAAAATCTTTCACATGAATTAATGTAAAGCCATTTGGATTCCAGTCACTACACCGACACCCAAATAAATCCACAAATTGAGTTGCATCGCCGCTTCTTCTGTAAATTTGCTGAAGTCTGAAGGTACATCTGTGGGTTTGATGACAAGGTCCTAAGATCTCATTTAACTCAATAGATAAGCTGAGAGTGGTAATCAGTTTTGCGAAGTAAAAAAGCATTTCACAACTTGTGTATAAACATCAGCTTTATAAATGTTTTCATTTGTTTCTATAAGTGTCGTGAAACGTATTGTTTTCTGCTCAGTAACAGCACATTCAGTCGTTCTTGTTCTGAAGATACAGTTATTAGAAAATTTATTTAATTTCTTTCTCTATTTTGTTGTTTATTGTGACCAGTGCTTGAGAAGAAACACCTTTTTTCCAGTTGCAAATTGAAAACCATATGAAACCAACATTTTAAAATGATGTTTAAAGTACAAATGGCAAAAAAACGGTAATTACACACATCAAAAACTGTGGCTTGATCTCCTCATATTTTCTCATTCAGCCCTGGAAATTAAATGCTGGAGGAGATGAAGAGAACGATTTAAAACATCTTTTAGCACCTAATTGGGATATTTAAATCGAAAACAGTGGTGTTTTCTTAAGCTCCTTAGAAGTTTGTAAAGTAACTGCTAAAGGGAGAGATGAGTGACAGATTTGTGGCCGAGGAGCACAGTCAGTCATTCAGTGTTTATATTCCTCACTTCATGAAGACGAGGGCTCCTCACTGTTTATTTCTGTTTAAATAGTAACCTGCCCGTCCTGTCTGTCTGGCAGTTAACTGATGCAGGCTGATAAAGGCTCACTCCACTGTTTTTAATGAGCTGCTCACAATGCTGGTAGAATTCTGTCAATCATCTCCAAGCCCGGAAATGACTCAAACAGGTTGATTTAAGTAAGAAATTTTTCTCTGTTCAAGAAAATAATCAAATTCTCTCAAATGAATCAGACATTAATACAAAACCAGACATGAATTTCACCAGAATAAAATGCAGAAGAGTTTGAGGAAGCTGGCGCATTGTTGGTTATACAGTCAGTAGATATATTGTGACTATCAGCTTAATATTGTGGTTCAAACGTCTTAAAGTTAGTCTTCCTCTGCATATACACAGATACAGAACAAATGTGACTGTACTAGGGGAGTGATATGATGCTGCTTTTTCATCGGTTTCTAAATATCTCGCATTTATAATCATGTCAATAAGAAATAAAATAAAGTCTAGAATCACCAAAAATTCAGGATTTAATTTGGTGAACATCTTTACAGAGAATAAATAAGCCAGAATCTGAGCAAACATTGGTTTGAGTTTGTATTATATTAACGTAGAGATTAAACAATTAAACAATTGAGAGCTTAATAAATTTCAGTGTTTTAAATGCAAAAATGACCAAATATCATGCTGGTTCCAGCTTCTCCTGTGTGAGGATTTTATGTTTTATATCAAAGAGAACTGAATATCTTTTAGTTTTACACATTTAAAGATGTCTCCTTGAAGTCTAAAAAATGGTTGTATGGACATTTTTAAACTAATTTTACTGAATCATTTTTAATATGTTGATCTGTTCTGTACATACGACGACATTTCCTCCATTTTCTTCCCGCCCGTTAAAGAGTTTTTTGGGGGAGTTTGCCCCTTATCGCATGTGAGGGTCAGAGGACAGAGGGTGTTGTGTGCTTTAAAGCCCTCTGACACAATATATCAATGAAAATAATTGTTATTTGCAGCCTTCATATCAAATGCTGCAGACACATTCGAGTCACTCTTCAGAGAGCACTTTTTCCCTGCCATCAAACCCAGTTAGCAACCAGTTTAGTTATCAGACTGTGAATCAGAGGGGCAGCAGATGTCCTGCAGGCTAAACGCACTCTAATATCAGATTAACTGTAACTCCAGACCTCCATCAGTCTGGGTGGAGAACAGCAACTTCAGCTGGTTTCACTCAGATGATTAAAGACAGGCTGTTGTTTTATCAGCCCATCACAGAGACTCTAAAAGCCTTTTACTGTAACAGGATGTGGAAAACCATATTTTAATTTATTTCAATCCAACAGGCACCATCCTGCTTCCACAGATACTCACTCTGGCACCAAATGTGGATGAATCTGCTGCTGAAAGTAGTCCCCACAAATGCACCATTTCCTCCTGTGTGTTTGATAAAACCTACAGTGAGGATCAGGGGAAATTACGAAGACATTTTAAAGAGAATCATATTAATCTTTTTCATACTTCAATCACAGTTTTAAAAAGTAGAATTTTAAGAGAGCTGAATCCCCAGTTTCAAATATGGAATCGATAATTAACAGTCAATAGCAGCAGTTTGCCTTTAATATGATAACTGGACAACAGGTTGTGTGATAAATAAATGAAACACTGCTTTTGAATGCCGTCTTTATATATAATATTATTGAGTAATGACTAGTATACTACTACTTGGTATTTATTTTTATGATGTTTAGTGAGAAGCTGACTTTCATGTGAGAACCTTGACAACAACCAGCTGGATTATTCGCTAAATAAATAAATAAATAAATAAATAAATCTGTGATGATGGTGCAAACATATCTTGTGCAGGATTATCTAAATACAACCCCAAAGTTTAAATTACAGAGGATTTTATCGCAATGTAATCACAATATTGGTCAGAAAATCAAAAGGATTTTCCCAGTTGAGCCCCAAATGAGATTTGTTGATGATAACAAAAAATAAATAACACAAGACTGATCCTTTGAGATGAAGCTCACATGAGACTGGGATTGTTTTGTGTCTTGTTGCTTCATGGAGCCGATTCATGGTCAGCAAAACCTAGAATATATATATAACCTGCAGCCCAGCAGAGTAAGAGTTAGTCTAGTTAGTTGGTCTTAAATAAGGAAATAGTTGATTTTCCTTTTTGAGGATTAGAAAATAGAAATTTTAATTTTCAATTTGCTTGATTAACAAGATGTTTTATAACAAAGCTTCACAGGCTGATTTATTTGAGCTTCAACTAACAATCATTTAATCATCGTTGAAAATGATTGTTAGTAATCATTGCTCGTAGTTGTTTGGTCAGTAAAATATCAGAAAACACCAGTTTAGTTTCCCAAAGCTAAAAGCAACGTCCTTAAATGTCTTGTTTTGTCTGACCAACTGTCCAAAACACAAAAATACAGACTGAATCACAATCTGTATTTACAGTCACTTAGAGCTAGAAAATCCCTGCGTAGCGTACATAAAATCCAACTGCGCCGCGCAAACGCTGCCTCAATTAAGTTTTTAGTGACCTAAAATAGGCCCACCAAAACAAAACTCAGTTTAAGTGTACGCTATATTCAGAATATTTTCTTTACCTCGCTGTCAGACAGCCTTTCGACCGGGAATCAAAGCCATTATCTCAAAGCCACCAACCATTTGACTTAGCGGAAAACTGAATTGGTGGTAGACTTTTTTTAAGATGGTTTAAAATATTTTTTTTCCTGTGGCCCTGTCCCCAGCTGTACATTGTTTAGTGTCCGTGCCGGTAGATTTGGTTTTTGGACGGTTGCAAAGCAACACAGTACACAAAATAAGTACAGCAGAAACATCAGATAGGTTGGAAGACTGTGTTTAACTTTATGTTTTTAAATGTTAAAGACATCATCGTACTCCAGACTGTACATTTTCAAAGGAGGTGTAACATTTTCACTCTGACGGTTTTCACTGCAGCCAATTCCTTCAAACGGCACGTCGGCACCAGGCCAGATGGCTTTGATGCTAAGCTAACAGCTAGTGCTGGTGGTCACAGTCATCACTTCACTGCCAGGCGGTTAGCCAGGCATGCTAATCCTGCTGCAGGTTAATCTGATTAGCTGCCAGCAGTCTGCTGAGTGAGATGTGTGGCAAGTTAACATACTCAGACAAAGACCAGAGAACTGCAGGATGATTCTTTCTTTTATAAATCAAGATAATATTTATCTGCACGTATTCAACGGGTCCTTTTTGTCAGTTTCCTTGAATGAAGTTGTGAGTAATTATTTTCAGATTATGCTGGGTTGTCCCTGCAGAAATTTGTTATGCTGTCCATTTTAAATGAGAGTATTTACAACATGTTTTGTGGACTCTGTTTCACTGTTCATGTACATGTACAGGATAACTGATACAAGAAAACACTGGCTCCTAAAACAAGTTAAAATATGTCTTTAATTTGTTGACTGATAGGCTTGAAACTTTTTCAGTATAATAAACCTTTAAAAAGCTAACAACCGAGAGAGGAGGGACACGAACTCAGCACAGCACGTTTGCCGCAGCAGAGGGCATCCATTATAATCAAATGAAGCTGCTACACTGACCACAGGAGCCGCGCTGGCATCGTGTGGCTCTTCTCTATATTTATGTGGCTTGTCTGTTATTTTTTCTCTGTGCACGTCTCCGCAGCTCTCCAACAGGTAAAAACTACCCCCCAAAAAAAGAAAAATTAATGTTATTGTACCAAGGGTAAAGTGAAGCAGCAGAGCAACCTTGTGGGTATTTTTACATTTCACATTAAAATAAATTAAATCAGTACATCCTGTAGTTAAAATGATCCAGCCTATGTGCTTCATAACCCACCATAACCAACTACTTTATCACTTGGCAAAACTCAGTACACACAGTGAGGATGGCAGCAACCACATGCTGCAAAGACGGAGTCTGTGTAGCAGGTAAAAACCCAGCTCCACCTACAGTGTGTGTCACGTCTATACCCCATGTGTTTTGGCTGTACGGTGGATATCCGCACATCGTTTCTACTTAGGCTAGGTACCAAAAACAGTACTTAAAAGGGTGCTGACCTAATTACGTTGGTACGATTGTGTACCGATTCACATTAAATCAATCAGTGCCAAATTTCGTTATTTAAGAGTGCACCTGGGTGAGAATGCGAGGTCCATACAGGATGTGAAGTTACCGCATAGCACCCCAAAGCTCGGAGCGCTATTCAGTGAGCTGAAACTACTGTGTCTGGTCTAATTTTTTAATTTTTAATTTTAGTAATAGCCTTGTTTAACTGCTGTCTGTGATTGTGTTCTTTTAAATTATGTTCTTATTCCACATATTTGTTAGTTGTCTACACAGAGAGCGAGAGTCAAGCAAACAAACACATTCACACAGACAATCAGAGACTTAGCTCTACCTGTGATTAGAAAAGAGCAGAGGAGGAAAGAGACAAAGGAAGACAATGTCATCCCTCCATCTTGTTCAGAAATTGCAGTTTTGTTATTACAGAGTGTAAAGTATTAAAAAAAAGGGTACTGTTGGGTACTGGATCTGAATTCTAGGTATCAGTATCTGCTGAAATGTGAATGGTATCTAACCGTAGTTCAAACTGAGCAGATTCTCCCTATTTTGGGCATTTGTTTATGTTTCAGTAGTAGTTATGAGAACGGTATTCACACATCCAGCTGTGTCAGACTCAGGTGGGAAAATGGACTTTGAGGTGATAATTACAATAATAATGTGGAGCCTTTTCTATAATACCTACCGTTCTTTTATGACTGTGAATTAATATTTCAGATACAATCAAGTTGCCAGCAGTCGAGTGAATGTTTGTTTATTCTGTTGCGGCGTGTTTAAGACACAAAAATATAAATGTTTTTCATGTTTTTGTGTTAGTTTGTTTACAAAATATGATCGCAGGATAATAAGCAGGTCCGTTATTGTTTACACAGCTCAGGAAATTATCTGTTGTCGTTATAGAGTCTGAAATTTTCTGTAGATGCATCTTTACTTTATTTACCTGTAAACAAGACGTTTGTGTAAACCTGCCACAGGTGTGTGTGTCTGTGTGTGTCTGGGTGTGTTGGTGTAATGAGTAACATGCAGCTTCAACAGAGTTAATGTGCAGAGTAAATTGACCGTGCTCTAAATGTTTGTGTGTGTTGTGGGGCGCTGCAGTAATCCCATGGGGTGTAATCTCATTAAGGTTGCGTGTCCTGTGGGTGCTGGTTGGTCACCGTGGCGATGGATGGTTGCCAGAGAAACACACATTAACAGCCTGTGCTTGTTAATGATGGAGGGACAGAAGTTTTTTACTGTCTTTTATGAAGCAGTTATTTATGGAGAGTTCGTCGAGCTCTAAAATGCAGCAGGAGACGTGAGGTGTTGTGCAACATGAAGACGCCCTGCTGGCTGCTTTGATGCTATTTAACCTGCTGAGAGTAAAAACAAGCAGCTGGAAACAGATGTGCTCACTCCCTCCTCTTCCTCTCTCTCTCTCTCTCTGCAGACTATGGATCAGAAGGTCGGGTTGTTCGTTCTTCTGGCAGCGGGCCTCCTCTGCCTCAGTTTGGCCCCTGTCTCTCGGGCCGAGGAGGACCTGATTGAGGACGGTCTGGGTGACGACATGGACGTGGAGGACGAGCTGGATCTGGGTTTGGGCGGAGCTGATGATGAGGAGGAGGAGCTGGAGGGGGACATGCAGGATGAGGCTCCATCTGAGCCTAAAACTCCTCCCACACCAAAGGTAGGACGCACTATAAGAGACCGTACACATGCTGCGACTTAAACTGCCTGTGTGCGACTCTTGTGCCCAGTAACAGCCTACTTATCAGAAATCCTGAGTGCAGAGCTGATCATCTTCCAGAAGCTGTTTTGTAAGTGTGTATCGGCCTAAAATGTTCTCCATGGGACAGATGTAAAGCTTTTGCAGCCCTGCCCTCCATTTTTATCATGGACTTAGATGCTACTGTGTTCCCAAAGCTCAACTCTGTTTTTCAGGGTGCAGCTGTTGCACCCTGAAAAACAGACGCTCAGGAACGTATGCGCATCACAACGGTGTCACTCTGAGCGCGCCTGCTGTGCGAATGTTGTTGGTGAGGCCAGCTGCAGACAGCTGGCATGAGGTTTTGGTCCTCTTGCCATTGCAAATACGCAAAATCTGTATTAGATAGAATAATTTATATGAAACAACAAAAATGCAGATCTTTTAATATCAGTGATTTTTTTTTTTATCTTGTTGAAGTTTATTTGTGGAGTTTTTCTGAATAAAAGGAGTCGTATGTTGTAACACCCTCTGAGGCAAATGTGTGATTTTGAGGCTGTATAAATACAATTTCCGTCACTTACTGCTATCAATGGAAAAAATACCGATCTGCCCTAATTTCTGAACATTTCATTTAATCCATGAGGATTTTTTTATGTTTCCTCAGGAAATGTTTGTTACTCATTAACCAGCCACATCAGGAAGTCAGTTTGATAACAGAGCAGTGAACTAACCTGCTGATCTACTGACCCGCATTCACACTGGAGACAACCAGAAATACACAAGACTCCAGTTTGATAACAAACCAGTTTCTTTTTTTAGAAGTAGAATAATTCAGTCTAAAATGACAGCCTGAAACTTTGCTTCCTGAAACTTGAAGACCGTCTAAATAATTTCTGTTTTCTTGACTGAACAGAAACCGCCGTAACAGCAATGTGCCTAAAAACCAAACATTTCTTAAATTACTGAAAAATAGGGTTTCGAAGAAGAAGAGCAGATCGTTTCCAGAAGCCAGAAAAAGATTATTCATGATTAATATTAATGCAAACATTAATAGTAAACGATTTATTCAGAAATTTTGCACATTGGAAGTTACAAATGAATAGTAAATGGAGAGAAAATGCAGTTTGGAACAAGAACAAAGAGCTGACTGTGTTTTATGGCATTTATGGTCTTAATTATGGTCATTTAATTAACAGCTTGTTAATCAGCAGACGTCAGATTTGCTTCTACGGGAGAAAACAGAACAAAATAAATCTGCTGTTTGTTATTTTAACATCAACTCTGTTCTTTCTTCTTCGTGTGCAGGTGACCTACAAGGCTCCAGAGCCGATGGGGGAACACTTCATTGCTGAGTCTTTCGACCGGGGGACACTGGACGGGTGAGCGCATGTTACACAGTCATTAAGTGTTTAGATTTTAAATATGAATGCATGATTTTCTCCTGTGTGTTTTGGAGATGTGAGACCTGCTGCTTGTCTTTGATCCTAAACTTAGCTGTGTGTTGGTTTCAGGTGGGTGCTGTCCAGCGCCAAGAAGGAAGAAGCAGATGAAGACATCGCAAAGTATGATGGTAGGTACAAATCTACAATGTCTTAATGACGATGTTTGCATGAACACTGTAATTCCACTATTATCCACTGTTGTGTGACAATATTCTGAATTTGATGTGGGTCAGGGTTAGTAAGCGGCATATTCTGTATAGATATTCCAAATTTGGCCAAATGAAGCATTTTCCAGTTGAGACATGGGGTTTTTACCGCAGTTTACAGCTCACAACCTCTTGCCTGTTTACAGTCAGCTCTGTGTGTTGTCATGGATACACTGTACACAAAGCAACTAGTTGACAGTTTGAAGGCTGGGGTAGAGATACACGCCCACAAAGAGAGCACAAATTTCTGGTTAGAAGGAGAAACACACCTTCTTGTAAACATTATGAAAGACTTGGAGATCAGCCGTTTTTGGATATGCACAAATGTGACAACACCAACCTTTTCAAGAGGGTGGATGAAGGAATGGAAGAGGCAGGCTGTGTTTGTGTGATCCAGCATGTCGGCCATCTGTGAGAACCCAAACGCAAAGACACAAACTGACCCAAGCAGCTTCGGTTGTTTGACGTGACATTCAACATCTTGGTGTCAAAGTAGTTTTACATTCATTCACATGATGACGATGGTGATGATGTAATTAACAGGTAAATGGGCGGTGGAGGAGATGAAGGACAGCAAGCTGCCCGGTGATAAAGGTCTGGTCCTGAAGTCCCGAGCCAAACATCACGCCATCTCAGCCCAGCTGCTGCGACCTTTCACCTTCGACAACAAGCCCCTCATCGTCCAGTAAGAAGACGACTTTCTCCCCTGTGGTTTTCATAATGATTCATTTTACCTGTCAGGTGTTTGCATCGCTCTCATCTCTCTGTCTGTTTGTGTTCAGGTACGAGGTGAACTTCCAGGCGGGAATCGACTGCGGCGGCGCCTATGTCAAGCTGCTGACTCAGACTCCGGACCTCGACCTGGTCAGTTTGACTCATTACGCACAACACACACACACACACACCTGTACAGGCTGCTGTTACTGCACTTACAGCTGTGATGTAATGTGAATCCCTCAGAGGGTTACCTCAAACTTCATCTGTCGACTGAGACGCTGCTCAACCGTTTGTACACAAGAAACTGTGTAATTAGGTGTTGAAATATGACACAAGATGTGCAACAACATTCAGTAACTGCAGTTTTAAATATAGAAACTTTACAAAAACAAGGGGAAGATTTTACTTGTAAAAGAGTATTTACGAACTGTGGTATTGCTTCTTATATTGAAGAAAAAAACCTGAGCACTTCTTCCACCATGGTGACAGAATACTGTTGCATGACTTTGATATTTAAGTTATAATGAGTGAATTAAACATGGAGAGGTATAACACAGACTTTAAACTTCCAAGCAGTTAAATTAAGTCTCTTGTGTTTTTGTGTTTCTTCAGCACCAGTTTGTGGACAAGACTCCGTACACCATCATGTTTGGACCCGACAAGTGTGGAGAAGATTACAAACTGCACTTCATCTTCAGACACCAAAACCCCAAAACTGGAGAGTACGAAGAGAAACACGCCAAGAAACCTGACGCCGACCTGAGGACGTACTACACCGACAAGAAAACTCACCTCTACACACTAGGTAAGAGACACACCAACACTCCTAAACACACTGGGTAATACACACACACACACACACCTCTAAAACGCATCTCAGCTCAACTTTAAAGGATACCCTTAGCATTTTTGAACCTGACCTGGACCGTATTTCCCCGTGTAAATTGATGGAAGAGACTGATGTTAACAACAGCTTTCAAATTGAGTGAAAGTTAAAAAGACACTTTAGCCACTTGTGATAATAATCTGAACTTTTCAATAGTTAAAATAACCACTTTAATGGACATACAGTGATGGTTTTTAGTTGCCCCTCGTGCTTCCATTGCAGCTCGTTCTGCAGCTACCGGCTGCTGCCAGCTCCATCAATGCTGGACCAATTTCAAAAATTGTCTATTTGATGAATTAACACGAGGAAGTCGAGTCCAGGTTGATAAATGCCGAAGTTATCCTTCAGTTAAACAGCACCTTTCCTACAAACATGCAGCCTAAAGTGCTTCACAAGGCAAAACTGGAATGACAGACACAATTTAAAGGATAACACAAACAACTAGACATAAAGATTGCAAGACAAAAAACAATTAAAACAAAACAGAACAAACCAATAAAATGAGGTGATTAAAGGTCCATCGAATATATA